AGAGCGAGCTTCTTTCTTGGAATGGGACACATTTTCTGACAAGGTTAAAATATCGCTGAGGCCAGTGTTACCTTCAAAAAACCCCTGACTCTCACAGATATCATTAAAGAAAAAAACGGCCTGTAATTAACAGGAGGGTAATTTATCTGCAAGGACAGATTTTAAAATGAAAACTCATTTGTGTAGACGATAAGACATGACCCTTTAATATCAACAAATCTCAAAGAGTTTTATGTCTATTAATTAGGCCCACTCCTCTCCAGGGCAAGGTGGTCATTTGCTCCAACTGTGGTTTATCTACCTGCTTCATGCCAGAGGGCTAAGCAGGAGTGGGGAGCCTGCCCGGGTTAGCCGGGGCCTGCCTTGTGCTACAAACACTCGGCCATCCTCTGGGTCCTCTGGGTTTCCTCTCACTGAATAGCCACCCAACATCTCCTCGGGAGGAAAAGGAAATCTAAGAGTTCCATGATCATTATCCTTAATCAAAACCTGACCGCAAGATTCCCTGAAAACTCCATTAGGTAAAATAGTACCTGCCATATTGGGCACATCTGCACCCATGGAAAGTGGACAACAAAGAGTCAAGAACCAAAGGAGTCGAAACTGGTTTGGCTCAGTGGATAGAGTGTCAGCCTGCAAACGGAAAGGTCCCAGGTTCGATTCCGGTCAAGGGCATGTACATTCGTTGCGGGCACATCCCCAGTGGGGGGTGTGCAGGAGACAGCTAGTCGATGTTTCTCTCATCAATGTTTCTAGGTCTCTATCCCTCGCCTTCCTCTCTGTAAAAAAAAAAATCAATAAAATGTAAAAATAAAAAAAAGAACCAAAGGAAATGGACAACAAAAGGATGTCTTCAATCACATTCTATCCATTGTAAAAACAGAAGGGTACTTTTTCTACGTAGGTTGCTTTTCTTGTGTTTTCATATCTATCTATCTATCTATCTATCTATCTATCTATCTATCTATATACTAGTAAAAGCCTAAGCGACCGGCCAACCAGCTGGTATCTATGGCGCTCACTGACCACCAGGGAGTTACCAAGCAACAGCAACTTTGCAGAGTGTCCTCTCACCATCCAGAACCCCTCGGGGGATGTTGGACTGTGATTTCAGCCTGATCCCCACGGGCCAGGCTGAGGGGACCAACCTCCCCCCTCAATACAAATCCGTGCACTGGGCCTCTAGCATAAATACAAGCATCTGTCTTGTCTCCCCAAACAGATTACAAGCACCTTCATTATTGGAACCATTTAGATCCCAGAGAAGCACAGGAAAATAATAAATATTTGAGAGCTTGTGCAACAGGAGGTTCTCATCCCAAGGCTGGATTCCTTCGCCGTCTGTCATTAGGAAGTTATCTCCTTCTTACACGTGTCAGCCTTGGAGAAGAGCTGATGCTCTCATTGGGAAGTGGGCACTCGCCAGTTCTGTTCCAGAGGGAGCTGTGTAACACAGGTGTTGCAAACAAGGGCTTTGGAATCAGGAAGTGGTGGATTCAAACCCCAGCTCAGCTGTGCCAAGTGGCATGGCCTTGAGCAAGCTACTTGTCTTTCTCTAAACTTCAGTTTCCTTGTTAGAAACCTGACGATAATATTGCCTTCCTCCTGAAGATGTGGGAATTAGACAAGATAACATATGTAAAACACTTAATACACAGCCTACCCTACATAGTAAGATCAATAAATTGTAGCTTAAAAACATCTAGCCTTTGTGATCACAGGGCTACATTCTAACATGAATGCAAAAGGCAGCAAAACACAGCCCAGAGCTTCAAAATGCTACGTAACAGGGTGCCCATTATTGTCCTCCTGTTTCCCACAGAGGAAGACTAAGGAGCACAAAGTTCTGAGGCCTTTATCAAATCCGTGAATAGAGCAGTTATAATATACCCTCGAAAGCCCCTGCACACCTAAGATTGGAATCCCAGAATCTTAGCATGTCAATGCCAAAATAAAAATAAAAAAGCTTTGCCCGGCCCGCATGGCTCAGTGGTTGAGCATCAACCTATAAACCAGGAGGTCACAGTTAAATTCCAGGTCAAGGCACATGTGGGATTGATTCCCAGTGTGGGGCATGCAGGAGGCAGCCGGTCAATGATTATCTCTCATCATTGACATTTCTATCTCTCTCTCCCTCTCCCTTACAGCTGCTAGGGAGCCCTGAGAGACATCCACAGAAAGGAGCCCCCAGGTTCCCTGCTCTCTACCCCCTATCCATTCACCTCCACTCCCCTTATAGGTCCCTGGAGTCACCAACCCTTCTCTTGGTTTTTGGTTCTAATAATAAAAAGAAGCATAACTAAACAGCTCTCAATGGTGAAGATACAAAAGCAGAAATAGAATCTCAACATGACCCAGCTCTCAGGATGTATAAACACATCTAAGCAAGGCCTTCCCAGTGCTAGGAGACCCCAGACAACATTGGATGCAAACTGGCTGGAAGGTGACCAGACAGGCAGCCACCCTGTGGAGTGCCAGTGGGGGTGGGGTGAGTGGATGCTGAAGGTCAGACCCCATGGAGGCCCTCAGGAGTCGCATTTCTTCAGTACACCACGGCTCTCCTGGTTTTCTAGGCTTAAAGCCTTGGAGTCTCTCCTGACTTCTCCCCTTCCCTGCCCCTCATCAAATCTCCCCAACCCCCATCCTTTCTTTTCCTCTATCACCCAGCACCTTCCCATGGTTATGTACTGCTGCATCCACACTCCACACATGGCTCTACAAGAGACTTCTAACGGGCCTCCCTGCTCAGACAAGGCTCTTTCCAGTGCGTCTTATATTTCACAGTCCAGGGTGACCAATTTGTCCCAAGTTGCCCAGAATCCTCCCAGTTTTCGCTCTCAAAGTCTCACCTCCGGGGAAGCTCCTCAGTCCCAGCTGAGACAGCTGGCCACCCTACTGCAGTCAAATCAAAATCTTCCCCCGAACAATGCTTTTATCTTGTCACTTTCCTGTCCCAAATGGTCCCTGCTTCACATTTCTCATTAAAATAAACCCTAAAACAGACTGCAAGTCCGCCTCAGAGAATTTATGAGAAAGCATGGTGGGACAGGGTAAAAGGCCAAGCTTTAGTCATAACCCTGTCGGACGCTTGGGAATCATTCAATCTAGCTGGGCTTCAGTTTCCTCGTCTGTAAAATTAGGAGGGTAAGACTATATTTCCTTTTCAGCTCAAAAATTCTCTATATCTGTTCTCCTGTATATCCTCTGCTCCAGCCAGACTTACCAACTCACTCTAATCCAAACATACCCTCTAAATTCTCACCTTTGTCTCTTTGGTCTTTCCCTTCTCCCACCAGAATTTCTCTTCTTTCCTTTCTGTCCACCTGAATCCTCAGGGACCAACACAAATCCCACTTTCTCCCATCCAAGTACTAACCAGGCCCGACCCTGCTTAGCTTCCGAGATCAGACGAGATCGGGCGCGTTCAGGGTGGAATGGCCGTAGACACAAATCCCACTTTCTAAAGGGAAGTCTGGGCCCAACCCCTGGGTATGTATGAACATTCCATACATACCAGATTTTCCAACACTCAGCACTCCTCGTGTTCTGTTCCTGGCATTCAAAACCTTTCTTCTACATAAAACTTCTCTACTCCAACTGGATTAAAATCTCTATGCACTTTTGTGGTTCCCTTGCAGAATCCCAAGCACTACTAACTGATTGATGGATGTTACATAGAAAAAAGTACACCCAGAAACAAAAATAGAAAGTACAGCTGAAGCCAGTTTGGCTCAGTGGATAGAGCGTTGGCCTGCGGACTGGAGGGTCCCAGGTTTGATTCCGGTCAAGGACATGTACCCTGTTTGCGGGCATGGTTACCCCAGTAAGGGATGTACAAGAGGCAGCTGATTGATGATTCTCTCTCATCTATGTTTCTAATTCTCTATCCCTCTCCCTTCTTCTCTGTAAAAAATTAATAAAATATATAGATTTTTTAAAATAGAAAGTTCAGCAAATCTCAAATTCTTTGCATTTTACACAAAATTCCCAAACGCTTTCCTTACCAATAATTCACTTACTCCACCAAGATTTACTCTGACTCTCCTATGCCTAAGACATTGGTGATGTCACAGGTGCAGAGGCGGGGGATGACTGGAGGCCCAGGTGTCTGACCGCATCTCTACTCACAAATAGTATAAGCTCCCACGTTGTTCCTAAATTCTAACTTTAAAAAAAAAAAAAAAGTGCATTATTGATTCCAGAGAGGATGGAAAAGGGGGAGAGAGATAGAAACATCAATGATAAGAGAGAATTATTGATCAGCTGCCTCCAGCATACCCCACACTGGGGCCCACAACCAGGGCATGTGCCCTGACTGGGACTTCCAAGTTCATAGGTCAATTCTCAACCACTGAGCCACGCTGGCCAGATGCTAAATTCTAACTTTTTGGTAAAACCTTAAAAGGTTCAAGTGATGGTAGCAACACCATCATCACAGCCCTCCTCCCCGCAATCAGTCATATATCTACTGCCCCTACTAACCTGAAGAGCTGTTAAAATTTTTTTAATTCAAAATAGGTCAATAGATTAAAATACACACAAGCAAGACATTAGCATAGGTCATAGGACAAATCTCTTCCAGGAACTATATCCTGGCCCTATACCCAGAAGCTCTAGTCCCTACATTGACGGATTTTTGTAACGTGAACATATTGCTAATCTTCTTTGGTATGATTTGACTATTATCCTCCATTAGTCTTGGTAAGTGACACATCTTAAGGATGAACACCTCTGTCTTTTCAGACCCCCCACAACACGCACGCACACACACACACTCCCCTAATTAAATGGGGCTGGGACTTGAACCGTGTCACCTATATTGACAAACAAGTTCATGAGCAAGTGGGGGAAGTAAATCAACTAAACGGTTTGGAGAGGGAGAGGCCACGCTGGACTGGGTCCAGGGTGATTCAGGCTCTGCCACAGAATGGGTGTCTCCTGAGATGGCCTCGTAGGACAATTAAAACCCCTATAAATAGGATGGGTTTTCAGGCCTCCAATATCCTCTTCAGCTTCTCAATCTCTGCTCATTCCTCCTTACACAGGTAAGACATTCATGGGGGAGCAATGGCAGTATCCAGGAGGCTCCTGATAGTGGGTGGCTGTGATGTTCTGGGCTGGAGAGGCCTGAGACTACTCTCTGAGGGTGATAGCCTTGGGTACCCTCCTGCTTCATTTTCTTGACTCTATCTGAGGATATGATCATAGCTAGGATTGCCTACTTCTGAGGCTGTGAAAATATATGCTTTGTTTTTTACAGTGTGTCCTAGGTATTCCAAAATCAAGGGCTAGAACTATTGGTGGTTTGCTTAGTCTCCGCTAGTGGAGCTTTTGCCTTTTGTGCAAGTTAAGCAAGATGTGAGAGTTTAGAGAGCATCAGGGACAAGGCCCTGGACCATGGGCCACATAATAATCAAACCTCATTGCAATGAATCGACACTAGGGACTCAGTCTCTAGCAATTTGTTATTTGTCCTTATCCGTACAGGCATCGTTGCATGCTGTTGGAAGGCCAATGTGCTTTGCAGTTAGGGTTTCCGTTTGGAGGTCTCTAAGCCCAGTAACTGGGATTTTCACAATGTAAGAAGAAACAGCTTTGAGATCCAGATCCCCAAAGACCCTCTGCCTCTTAGCATGGCTAATGTGAACTTCTCTGATTGTATCAGACTTCCCATCATCTATGCAGTTCATTTGGTTTGCTATTTCACCTGTAGCAGTTTTGTATTCACTGATTCTATTTTTTTTAATATATATTTTATTGATTTTTTTTTTTTTTTTTTTTTTTTTTTTTTTTTTAGAGAGAGAGGAAGGAAAAGGGAGAGCTAGAAATATCGATGAGAGAGAAACATCAACCAGTTTCCTCCTGTACACCCGCTACTAGGGATGTGCTCTCAACCAAGGTACATGCCCTTGGCTAGAATTGAACCTGGGACCCTTGAGTCCTCAGGCCAACCCTCTATCCACTGAGCCAAACCCGTTAGGGCTTTACTGATTCTATTTTATAATCATATCCAAAGTGATCATCCAGGCCAGAAGTGCTTACTGGAATTTAGTCTCCCAGAAAGTTTCCTTGGCCATGGCAAGAGACCTCTAGCCTTCTTCCCCACTCATTATAAGACTGAGACCTGCAGTGAGGTCAATGTAGTGCCCTGTTCAGCATGCTAGTCGTTGGTGCAAAGTTATGCTTCATGACACTGGCTTTGGTCTTGTCTCATAGGCTTCCTGACTATCTTTCCCTTTTGTTCTAATATGAGAATTTCAGTTAAGTAAGTCCCATCCGGAGTAGAAGATGGGGCATGTGAAACACCTATTGTATATTTTTTGTTGTTGTTCTTAGGAAATAGCCATTTTTTTCTAGCAGGTAACCCATAGTCTGCGCCCTTCTCCCATTGTGTGATATTTGGAGCCAGACTATGGGTCAAAGGGGGTCAGGGGTATGGCTAAGGAGAAGCTCTGTCCCTGACCAAGAGGGGTCACTTTCCCTTTGAAAATGCTGTCTCCTGGGCTTCATCCTAAACACAGACAAAATCTTGTTTCTTCTTCTAGGTTTACCTGTCTTTGCCAAAATGGCTGCACTCCTGAACAGCATACTCACCGTGATCAAGGTGTTCCAGAAATATGCTAAAGAGGATGGGGACTGTGCTCTGCTGAGCAAGAAGGAGTTGAAGCAGCTGCTCTTGGCTGAGTTTGGAAACATCCTCCGGGTAAGATGCATAGAGTCTGAATCCCATGGAGTCAAGTGTGTGTGACTCTGAAACCTGCATTTAGGGCTTAGTTTTTGTTTTCTTTGGTCATGCTCCACCCTGGAACTAAGAGAGTTACAGGTATCTCCTTAGTAGCTTGCTCCCAGCACATAGACATGTGTGCATAGGAATGCTCAGACACACACACACACACACACACACACAACACACACATCTACTTGTATCTGAGTTCAAACAGGAGGAAGTAGAACTTTGAGCTGGAAATCCTTTCTCAGAAGAAATCTAGATTAATATCTTAGTTTCTATATTTTAAGGCTGTCCACACATTTTCTCACTCAACAAAGAGTCATTAAGCACCTTCTCCATACCAGCACCATACTAGCCACTGAGGATACAAACATAGATAAAGATAGCTTTCACTCTCTCCAGGAGCTCACACTGTGGTTGGAAAAATGTTGATAAACAAGAAACAATAATATGATGGGGTGGGACCGCTTCCCCAAATTCATTATGAAGGGAGCTGATTTTAAATAAATATATCTACTCCCCATAGTCCTGCTCCCTCCAATGAGTCAGGAAGGGATGAGGTTCTAAAAAGAAGCTGACCAAAGACTAGAACCAAGCCTAAGCCATTTTAGATTAATGGCTTCTCATACAAGGAAGGTTCATTCAAACTAAATGGACTGGGGCATGAACCCGGGCACACATCTTAATATCCACAGGAGAACATCTGATTTTTCTCTTTGTTTTTATTCCCACAGAGACCAAATGACCCAGAGACTGTGGAAACCATCCTGAACCTCTTGGATAGAGACAGAAATGGACATGTTGATTTTAATGAATTTCTCTTGCTGGTGTTCCAGTTGGTCCAAGCTTGCTATCATAAGGAGGAAAATAAGTCATGTGGGAATAGAACCTCCCAGCAAGAAGGAGAGCAGGAGGGAACACAAGACCATAGCTTTCCAGGAAATACAAGCAGACAACATAGGCAGAGGCATGAGAAAGAAAAGCAGGACTCCCACCATGGTCAGTCTGAGAAATGGGGTCAGGATTCCCACCATGGTCAGTCTGAGAAATGGGGTCAGGAGTCTCACCATGGTCAGACTGAGAGACGGGGTCAGGACTCCCACTATGGTCAGACTGAGAGACAGGGTCAGGACTCCCACCATGGTCAGACTGAGAGACAGGGTCAGGAGTCTCACCATGGTCAGACTGAGAGACAGGGTCAGGACTCCCACCATGGTCAGACTGAGAGATGGGGTCAGGACTCCCACCATGGTCAATCTGAGAAACAGGGTCAGGATTCCCACCATGGTCAGTCTGAGAAATGGGGTCAGGACTCCCACCATGGTCAGACTGAGAGACGGGGTCAGGACTCCCACCATGGTCAGACTGAGAGACGGGGTCAGGACTCCCACCATGGTCAGACTGAGAGACGGGGTCAGGAGTCCCACCATGGTCAGTCTGAGAAATGGGGTCAGGAGTCTCACCATGGTCAGACTGAGAGACAGGGTCAGGACTCCCACCATGGTCAGACTGAGAGACAGGGTCAGTACTCCAGCTCTGATCAAAAACTGAATCATAAATCTAACAGTGACCAGAATAAAAGAGAAGGATATTTATTTGCTTTAAATCAGTATGAGACACAAGTTCAGGATTCTCATAATGGCTGGTCTGAAAGGCTTGGACAACAACAAGGCCAGCCTAGAAGATTTAGAGAGGATTTGTGCTGTAGCCAAAGAAACCAAAAGGAATCAGGCTCTTATTATGGGAATTCTGCAAGCCTGGATCAGGAATCAGGCTATCATCAGAGAGACAGGCAAGACTTTGATTCTCAACATGGCCAGTCAGACAGACAAGGCCAGAGTTTCCACTATGGACAGGCAGACAGACAAGGCCAGAGTTCCCACTATGGACAGACAGATAGACAAGGCCAGAGTTCCCACTATAGACAGACAGGCAGACAAGGCCAGATTTCCCACTATGGTCAGGTAGACAGACAAGACCAGAGTTCCCACTATGGTCAGGTAGACAGACAAGGTCCAATCTCTCAATATGACCAGACAGACAGACAAGGCCAGAGTTCCCACTATGGACAGACAGGCAGACAAGGCCAGAGTTCCCACTATGGTCAGGTAGACAGACAAGGTCCAATCTCTCAATATGACCAGACAGACAGACAAGACCTGAGTTCCCACTATGGTCAGGCAGACAGACAGGGCCAGAGTTATCATTATGGACAGGCAGGCAGACAAGGCCAGAGTTCCCACTATGGTCAGGCAGACAGACAAGACCAGAGTTCCCACTATGGTCAGGCAGACAGACAAGACCAGAGTTCCCACTATGGTCAGGCAGACAGACAAGACCAGAGTTCCCACTATGGTCAGGCAGACAGACAAAACCAGAGTTCCCACTATGGACAGGCAGACAGACAAGGCCAGAGTTCCCATTATGGTCAGGAAGACAGACAAAACCAGAGTTTCCACTATGGTCAGGCAGACAGACAAGGCCAGAGTTCCCATTATGATCAGGCAGACAGACAAAACCAGAGTTTCCACTATGGTCAGGCAGACAGACAAAGCCAGAGTTCCCACTATGGACAGGCAGGTAGACAAGGCCAGAGTTCCCACTATGGACAGGCAGGCAGACAAGGCCAGATTTCTCACTATGGTCAGGTAGACAGACAAGGCCAGAGTTCCCACTATGGTCAGGCAGAAAGGCAAGGCCTGAGCTCTCAGTGCAGTCAGTCAGAGCCTGGGGAAACTGGGCAAAATAGATGCTTCCAGGGGAATGAGCGAACAAGCAGAGGCTCACATGTTGAGCAATCAGGAAGGTCAGGAAAACCCAGTCAACAGACTCAAGGACAAAAAGTGAACCAAAATCAGGGACAGAGATTTCAGTCTAGGGTAGAGCAACGGAACAGTCACCAGGCATGGGAGCCTGAGGAGGATAGCCAACACCACCAACACAAACTCATGGCACCAATTCAGCAAGAAAGGCCACACTCTCACAAAGGGAGTGAGAGGCAATCACGCAGTAGTGAGCAGGGTCACAGAGAGGCCCAGACCAAGGAGAGTCATGGTGAGGAGCAGAGCCACCAGGCAGAGGAAGAGAAGGATCACCAAATTGGGGGTAGATGTGGTCGTGAGGGTGAGACACGGAATAGGCAAACCCATGAAGAGGAACAAAACCATCAGACCCGGGGCAGGAAAACCCATGAAGATGAGCAGAAGCACCAGAGACGAGATAAGCAACCTCATGAAGAAGATCAAAACCGTCAGCCACAACGGGAAAGGCAAACCCATGAGAAGAAAGAAAGAGATCAAGAGTCCCAGGATCGACAATCCCATGGAACCCAGCGAGGCTATGCTAACAGGGAAAATTACTGCATGAATGAGGATGACCAGAGCCAAGGCTCCCAGGGAAGACACGGTAGCCTGGCCTTCCATCCAACCCAGAGCCATGGGAGGCCCCAAAGAAGAGAAGAAGGTGGAAGTCACCCTACCAAGGCAGTGATTACTCCCAATCCCCTCTATGATTATCTACAAGAGCAGAGAGAGCAGTGGAACTAGGCCTTATTGCACAACAGAGCTACTGTCAAAGAAGAAATCTACGTGTCAAGTTCATATTTACTTCTAAGAGATTGAAAATGTATGTCTTCCTTCTCTCCTCTACTTACTATCTACTTTCAAGGATGCTTTTTGAGGACTAGCATTTACTTCTAGGGCATTTCGGTTCTTTGAGCAGCAAATCCAGGGTGTGCTGGCCGGTTGAAATCTGAGTGGTAAATTGGGTGAAATAATCAGATCCCAATTTTGATTAGTTTGGGGATTTAAATCATTTCCTAGTTTGCCTTCCTTGTAACTAGGGTATGGTTGGGTCACTGAAAAGTAGAAACTTCTCCCAAAATTCAGAAACAGGAAAGGTATTCTGAAGATATGCACCACAAACTGAGAGGAGGATATCTGGGCTTTAGTGAGTTTTGGCTCCTGTGGATGAAACATCAGGAATTTCAAGCCTCATAGTCTACACTTGAACCTCAGTGAGAGGCTGCTAGGAGAGTCAGAGACCACAAAGGACATCTCTGATTCACAACACCTCCAGCGCCCAGGCTCCTACCCTTCATCAGAGGGACTGTCCTGGCTCCTAGCGCTAAAGCTGACTAGACTGGCTTTAGCTCAATACCATTCTAGTTTCTGATCATATTAAATAGAAAGGAAGCATATGTCATCTGTTTTCAGATCCTAGTCAATCAAAATTGTTGACCCAAAGATACTGGGGCCTGAAAACCATTCACAAGAAAATCTATGGAATTGTATTTAAATGCCCAATAAATAATTGATGAGCAATGACCTCGATAACTCTTTTTTTCTCCTTCACTGTGGGGCTATGCTATCTTCACTTGTGGGCCATTCTCCAAGAACAAGGCCTAATTTCTTGACTTCTAAGATAATTTTGTTCTTGGAGTTCCCGGGACACTGAAAAAAAAATAAAAATCAATAGGAAATAAGGAAAAAGAAGTCAAAAGGCACTAATCTAAATATCATTTACAGCTCCTTCCCCTGCAGTCAAATTTGACTCTTTCCCCTCATTCACTTAACACATTCAAATGATCATTAAGTCATGCCAATTCTCTATCCTCCGTACCTCTTGAATCTCTTTTCATTTCTCCATTTCCACTGCCTTAATCTCCCTTCTCTTCAGTGACTTGAGAATAAAGTTAACACCTCACCTCTAAGGTCAAAAGCCAATGACCAGAAAGGAGAGTCCACCCTCAAGAAGGGTGTGAAAGGAGGGAGGGGAGCGTCCTAATGTGACACAGGCTGATCAGGAGTGGCTCTGCAGTGGGGCGGGTGGGGGGAGGGGGGGGCAAGCAGCTCTCTGAACCTAAGCCATGGAACAATATTCCAAATTTCCTCAATTGAAAAGTCCAAACAGAAGGTCATTACTCTTAAATGCTGTCTCTATTCCCAAATTCTGAAAAAAGTCACACATACTATGAGGCTAATTCACAATGCTTCCTCCAAATAATCTAAATCAGAAAGACATTATTTCCTTACAAAAAACTGATCTTTATTTCACTGCAGCCCAACTTTCATCCCCTTGGGAATCACTCCCCAGTTGCCTTCTCCTCTTTTCTAACCATAGGTAATCTAATCCAGTGACTTTTACTATCATCACTATTTCTAAGGTTCTTAAATCTTCATCTCCAACCCTACCTCTTTCCTAAACTACAGACTCATATATCTAATTATCTACTTGCCATTTCATTTGGACATGAAATAATATCTTCATCTTAGCATTCTCAAACAGAGCTCTTGACTTAACCTATTTCTCCCTCAATTTTCTCCATTCCAGTAAGTTAGTAGCATCATCCACATTGCTCAATCAAAAACGTAGGAGATAGTATTTATTGTAATCATTCTCTCCCGACCCAAACCAAACTCATTAGCAAGTCCTCTTGTTTCTATTAAAATACAGTATAGCTCAGCTCCATCATTCTTGCCATCTTTGCTCCTATCACCCCCATCACGACATCTCCCTCTTAAGGCAGCAATAGCTTCCTGATGGGTCTCCTTACTCCTTTGCAATTTCACATATCATGTCACTTCCCTTCGTCCTGATATGCCAAGTTTGCAGATTCAACCCTGGGTCAGGACATATATTTCCCTGATTAAAATGCTTGGTATTCTCCACCATACTGAGTATAAAATTTAACATTCTCCCAGGGCCTTCCTAGGATGGGGCCCTGCCAGACCTCATCTTGTACCTCTTCTCTTCAGTCACTGTTTACCATCTCAAGGCCTTTAAATAGCTATATCTTCTGCCTGGAATATTCTTCTCCCTGGTCTTTTAATATATATATATATATATATATATATTTTTTTTTTTTTTTTACTGGTTTTTTACAGAGAGGAAGGGAGATAGAGTGTTAGAAACATCGATGAGAGAGAGACATCGACCAGCTGCCTCCTGCACACTCCCTACTGGGGATGTGCCCGCAACCAAGGTACATGCTCTTGACCGGAATCGAACCTGGGACCCTTCTGTCAGTAGGCCTACTCTGTATCCACTGAGCCAAACCGGTTTTGGCTCCCTGATCTTTTTGTGGCTATCTCCTTATTTCATTGAAGTCTCGGCTAAAAAGTCACCTCACCAGAGAAGCTTCTCTAACATTTAATCTAAGATTATGCCCCAATCACTTTCTCACACATACTCCTCTTCTTGTTTATTGTTCTTAGCATTTTTCATATTTGATACCTTGTTTTTGTTATTTGTTCATTGTCTTCTGCCCCCTACTGGAGGTTAAGGTCCACAACAACAAGGATTTTGTTTCTCTCGTTTGCCACTATACCCTCTGCATCAAAACTAGTGGCTGCTCTTGGTCTGATAGATTCTGTATCAAGTATCATGAATATGATAAAATACCCAAGGCTTAATACAAATGTCTCATAGCATGGCTTGCTGTACAGTTTGGAGTTGGTCCTTAGTGTAGAAATTCATAGCATCTGACTCTTGAAAGGCCAGTTCCAAACTTACCTCTTTCAATCCTCCCTCAGTGCTCTGTTGAGCTCCATATGCTTGAATTTCCCAGTGTGCATTCTGCCTTCTGGTAGCAGTATAAATACGTGTTCTCCGGTTGCTTCAATTATGCCGTGCATCCTTTCCCTAGAAGCGATAAGGTCATTAAGAACCTGATGAGTCTCCTATTCCTTTGAGAACCCAGCACAAATGGATTTACGGCCATTATTGTGGGCTAATTCATTATGAGACTTACTCAAGCAGTTGGAACCAAACTTGAATGGAATATTTATTGACTGAATATTTACTGCAAAACACAATCTCTTATTGCATTTTGCATACAAGCAACTTGTATTTTTGAGAGGAAAGCAAGCTAAGAACACAACTAAACATATAGCAACAGTTTAAGAGAGGGAGGGGGTCAGGAAGGAGTTCTTGTCTTGGCTCTGCTGCTAATGCCACATATGACTTTAGGTGATTTTTGATCCCTTGCTGAGCTCTAGTTTTCTCATCCTTAAAATGAGTAATTAGCACAACACAATCGATAATGTCTCCTTCAAGTCATAACGCTATGGTTGTATAACTAAATGTATAGGTGAATCAACCAGGCTAATTTATTTAGCACAGTAAATATTCCAGAGACTGAAAAACACTTTGGACGCCAACTGGAGCAAAAGGTCATATGGAGCTTTAGCGCCATCTACTGACCACTGGATTCCCTTTGTCTTTAGATCCAGAAAATTACGAAGGCTGTTGCAAATGAACGCCTGTTTCAAGATCTAGACACCAGGGATAGAGCAGTTTAAAAAACATAGACAAAAAAAAAAAAAGCATGGTCCTTGGAAAGACAAGAGGGAATAAATAAGTAAAATACATATCGGAATATAACAGGTGCTACCGAAAAAAAATCAACGAAGGAAGATAAATGCTGAGGGTCACGAAAATGAAATAAGGTTGTCAGGGTGGGTCTCCTGAGAAAGTAACATTGGAACAAAGACCCAAAGAAGATAAGGGGGCGGGGGGGGGCCAATGAACATCTAAAGAAGAGCATTTCGGGAAGAAGGCAGAGCACCTGCAAAGGCTCTACAGCCGTGTATTCAGGAAATAGTAAAGAGATGAGTGGATACAAATGAGCAAAGGGGGTGGGGGGTGAGTCACAGGAGACGAGGTCAGAGAGGTCTCTCTGCAGACTCATGGCCCTGCAAGGCCTGGTAGGCTTGAGGATTTGGGATTTTCCTCGGAGCAATCTGCAGAGCCATCAGATGGCTTTGCCTCAGGCCTTTCACATTTACTGCACATACCTAGGATTCCCCCCCTATGTGTCTGCAGCCTACAGATCTTGACTAGGTGATAGCGATTCAAATGACATAGAAGTGCAGGCTGTCATGTGACTCTTGGTCCTGCTCAAAGCTCCAGTAGTCCTGTCCTCCTGGGAGCAACATCCTTAAGGTTGCTGCACTTGGTTAACCACCCCCCCCACCCCAGCTCCCAAATGTTGTGTGGCTGCCTGAGAACCACCACAGGCCCCAAAGCTAAAAGGGGTTTAAAAAGAAACAAAACACAGTTTCTGTCTTCAAGTTTATAATCCAGTTAAAAATCAAACACACACACACACACACACACACACACACACACACACACACATGCACTTGGGGATGCTTGCAAAGCAACCTGTGGACAAGTGTAAAACTTAATAATACCACCCTATGCCATACCACATGTATGGGTTTTTTTATAGTCTCACACACAAATCTTATATCAACCCTTCAAAGTAGTTACAGCCATGAATACCTTACAGGCAAAGAAACTGACGAGCTTTAACAACTTCTCCAACAGGGTCCAGCTAATTAACTTATACAGAGTCGGAATCTGAACCCAGATCTCCAGAGTCTGAGTCCTGGACTCTTGGCACTGCTCCACAGCAGGGCCATCATTAGCAAGCAACTACATGCACAAGGGACTACCTAAATAGGAGTCATCAGAATCTGGCCAAAGGAGCCAGATGTTCTTTGGAGGACGAGCTTTGAGCCAACTCTTAAATATGGAATGGATGTGGACTGGCACCCTGGAAAGGGCAGGGTGCCTGGGTATGGGAGTAGTTTGAGTAGAGATGCAGATGGGTATCTATGGAGTTTAACTGTTAAATGATGGAAATAGCAAACAGATTAGGTAAGGATTATTTTAGGAAGTGACTGAAGATTACGTAGAGAGGGGTCTCACTCTTTTCTTCTTGACCTCTCCACCCAGAACACCCATAATCCCTTTTCTCTCCAGGTTCTCCTATCATCTGGGAACTTCTTAGGCTCCCTCGTGAGTTTCTCCTCTCTTTTTGATAGCTTTAATGAGACATGCCCTATTCTCATTTCTGCCTGCCAAATGCTCTGTCTCCTTTGATGCTACTCTATCAATTTGGAGAGTTCCAAAGAACACGGATGCCTGGATCCCATTCCCAAAAATCTAATTTTATATGTCTGTGGTGTGACCCAAGCTATGTGGCTTCTTATTATAAATGCAGAATTTAAGAAGTTTCCCTGGGTGGTTCTAAGGCACAGCCAATGACGAGAACCACTGTACTACACACCTTCTTCCTGCTCAATCTCATCTCTCTTGAGGTTGCAATCACTTTATTCCTAATGATGGATTCCATATTTCTATCTCCAGCCAGATTTCTCTCTTGAGTTCCAGACCTATATGTACTACTGACTATTGGACCTCTTTATCTAAATGTCTCACAGGCATCTCACACTGAACATCTTCAGTGGAATTCCTCCTTTTGTCTTCCTCTCCCTGCAAATAGCTTCACTGTCTGTCCAGCTGCTCAAGCCAAAAAC